GCGTGGGATCAGGGACTTCTGGGTTCAGTTTCCTGTGCAAGTCTGTGGGTCGGTTTCCTCAACTTGCAGTGAGGATGGGAGGCAGCATCAGGACAGCCTGGCTGTAAAGGTTGTGTGCCGTTGGACGTTAGCCACGCTCAGTCACTCTCCTCTCTTCTTCCTGTCTCCTTCAGGAAGGTCTCAACGAGCTGAACAGCACAGCCATCAAACCCCAGGTGAAGCCCTGGATCAACCTATTCCTGTCTGTCTCCCACAACATCGAGGAGGTAAGGCTCGACGTTCTCTGCTTCCAGCCGTACTTCTGTGCACTCTGTTTTTTGCTCAGCAACACAGTCAGAGCAACCGCTGTCTCATTCTCAACGTTCTTCACTGTTTCCTTGGCATGGAGCAACAGTAAAATACCCAGAACTTGCCGTGCAGCCTAGCCTGGAAAGGGGCATTTTCCTAGAGGGGACCTTGAGAAAAGGAAAGGGGTGCAGTGCTGCTCCAGGAGGGACGTCCCTCCCTGTCCTCTGCGCTGTTTGCTGCTGTTCACGGCCGGCCACAAACAACCCTTTTTGTATTTCAATGTCAGGAGGAGTTCAGTGACTATGAAGCTAATGATCCCTGGGTCCAGCAGTTCATCGTCAATCTGGAACAGCAGATGACAGAGTTCAAGGTGAGAGAGAGAGAGAGGGACATGGCAGCCTGCCAGGCTCTGGCCAGACTCCACGTGGCACCTCTCAGTTCCTCCTCTACTCGGAGGAACGGTGCACAGAGATGTCCTTGAGTTCCTTGCAGGGCTCTTAAGAGACCCAGTCCCCCCCTTTCTCCTGCAATTCCCAAAACCTGCTTGCAAGCCCCACGTACCTGGATCACTTCTGTGGTGCTCTCTGGTCGCCGAGCCTGCAAGCGATAGGTCTTTATTTAAAAGCTCTTGAGGGTTGGGTTTTGTGGCCCGCTGCTCCATTGCTCCTGACAGGAATGACACAGGTTTCTGCTTCCAGGCTGGGCTGTCTCCAGTGATTTACGATACCCTCACTGGTCTCATGACCAGTCTCATTGCCATCGAACTGGAGAAAGTGCTGCTCAAATCCACCTTCAGCAGGGTAAGCAAAACACTCTCCTCTACCCTGTAGTCAGCTTGGCTGCAAACATTCCATCGGGAAACCCTCAGTAAGGGGATGGGGCAGGGCAGAGGCAAATGCTACCCTCAAAGAAGCTCTGCCACTGCTGGTGGCCAGCTCAGGGAGACCCTGCGTTAGCACATACAGAGGGAAAGCGTGTTTTGGGATGGGGCTGGGAAGAGCTTGCATCAATAAGGGGGCTGACTTTTAAGGTGGGTCTAAATATAAGCCAGTTTTAACCTGTAATAAATGGTCTAACTGGAACCCTCCTGCTCAGAGGCCTCTCCCTGTTTGGCACAACCCCTGGGCCTGCTTGGAGAGTTAACAGAGCTCCCTCGGTCCCCACAGCTTGGCGGTCTGCAGTTTGACAAGGAGCTGAGGTCGCTCATAGCTTATCTCACCACGGTCACCACTTGGACTATCCGCGACAAGTTTGCCCGTCTTTCCCAGATGGCCACCATCCTCAATCTGGAAAGGGTGAGCTGTGCTTTGGCTGCTCTTATTGGGGGATTGTGGGAGCCCCAGCTGGGCTCCACAGGGCTTTACTGGGCTCATCCAGATGCTGTCGCACCTATGGGGTATGGAGAAGCTGGAAAAGTTGCCCCGTGCCTGGTGTTTGCCTGCGGTGGCAGAAAATATTGTGACCGTAGCTGGAGTTTGAACTCGCCTGCGAGGGTGGTTGGTGCCAAATTGTCTCCTGCAGCTCTCCTCTTTCTCCAGGTGACGGAGATCCTGGATTACTGGGGCCCGAACTCCGGCCCGCTCACCTGGCGCCTCACTCCCGCCGAGGTCCGTTGTCTCTCCGACTCGACTTCCGCAGCGAGGATATCAAGCGGCTGCGCCTGTAGTGGGTCAGTGCTCGGGTCAGCACCGCGCTGGAGGTGACCGGCAGGACGGCTGCAGCCCCGGAGCCTGCCCAGTCCTGCGCTGGGGCTGGCTGTCAGACGGTGTGGGGATGGGGTGATGTCTGCCCTTCTGCTCGTGTTCCTCGGAGCAAAGGGCGTTCCTGGGTCTGGGAAGCAGAGCTGCCATCCTTTGTGGGAGCAGAGACAAGGCAGCAGAGGATCTGTCACACTGAAAGCAGCGTGACACAATTTCTGAAAACACGTGGCAGTCTAGGGGACAAGCTTGTGCGAGCTCCCGACTCCCTCCGTTCTGCTGCCCTGCGGGAGGCACAGGA